AGCCCAAAATGCTGATGCATTGTTGTCTAGTTCTTGGCTATTAAATTGATTTTAACTAATTGAAAAGTTTTCTTTCAGGTCTTATTCACAGAGTCACTAACTATGATGTGCATAGTACTAAGCTGTATAAAACATGCACAAAGGCAGGAGGCCAATCTGCTAAAAGACAAGTACACTCTACTGAATCCCTGAAATAAAGTAGCTCATAACAGACACTCAGGCATTATAGAATAAAAGAACATTTAAAGCATTACACCTTTAGAAAAAAGTACATAAGTTAACCTAAAGGTTACAAACACAATAGCCCTATAGTCCTCCTATGTTCAGAGCCATTCTATGTTAACTGGAAGACACTGAAGATTTGTAAAATATAAGTTTGTGCTCTAATATGATACATACATTTCTGAAAAATCTCTTTCTGCAAAATTGCACACTAAAAATAACAAGCATTAAGGGGAAAATAGCATAAGAGGCAGACAAAAGACAGAACACTAATGAAAACAATAAGAATTCTAAGAAAATACTGCAGAATTTAAAAAATACATGGCAAATTCCTAACAAAGAAATACTGGGTTGTAAGGACAAGAGGCCAATGTACAAAGAACAGGCAGAAAACCCAAGAAGGCCTTGAACCACAGAGCATGCGGCCAACTCAGCCTAAATGAGGATGTGGGATGGATGGTCATCAAGTCTAGCACAATTTTCCTCTGTTCAGCTGTATCAGGGTTGTTTGACTTCAGCTGGCAGATTGCTTAATGGTACAAAATATGGGACAAAGTAATCCAATCACTTATGAGTTAATTTATGTTGCAAAAACAAGGTTGTAATAGAATAGATTATACCAAAACTTTAAATTATCAGAGTGTTTCTAGATTCATATAGAAAAAAATTAAAATATAAAAATGTTTTACTAAGCTAAGTCACTACTGAGGAGAACTCTTAGTGTGGGGAGAAAATATGATTAAAATAGTAGGTCTGATAAGTACTAAGTGCTCAATAAATGTTAGCAGTAGTTACTACTACTGTTGCTACTATGTCTACCAGTACAGTAGTCTCCCTTTTCCATGGTTTCAGTTGCCTGAGGTCAACCACAGTCTGAAAATATTAAATGGAAAATTCCAGAAATAAACAATTCATGTTTTAAATTGCATTTAAATTCCCTTTAAATTCAAATTCTGTTCTGAGTAGTGTGATGAAATCTCACACCATCCCGCTCCATCCCTTTGTCTAGCGTATCATCTCCCATCATCACAAGAAAAAAGGTGACTATAGTACAATCGGGTATTTTGAGAGATTGTATTCACACAATGTTTACTGCAGTATATAAAACTGTTCTGTTTTATTACTACTCATTGTTGTTAATCTCTTGCTGTGCCTAATTTATAAGTTAAACTTTATTATAGGTATGTATGTGTGCGGGGAAAAAAAGATTGTATAGGGTTTGGTACTATCCACAGTCTATGGTATCCACTGGGGGTCTTGGAACGTATTCTGCTCAGATAAGGGGGGACAACTGCAAAGACAGAAACTAAAAGAGCTCTGATACAGACACCTGGGACATAACCAATATCCATTACTCTTTGCTTTCTTGCTAATAGAATTCTAATTTTTGCTCAGGAATCTACCTCTCAGGGAATGTGACTTAACCCCATTAGGGGCATATCTGGATTAGTCTAAACCAACTGTAGAAATCTCATTCCTTTCGCCCGTGACTGGTTTAAGAGTGGGCATGTGGCCTCATGGCCAATAAAACATGAAGGAAGTTAACTAAGGAAGCAGGGGAGGAACTTTGGGTAAAACTCTCTTTATACAGTGCTTAAGAAAGAGATACTAGAGCAATTTATGTCTTCTCTTCCCCTGAATCTTGTCAGGACAAAAGTACTTCAGGTGCTCTGATGCTCCACTTATATTTCTGAATTCCCCTTCTTCAAAGAATTTGACCTATATAAGTGATCTCCCAGGAAACAGTAAGATCCTTGTGGGCAAAGATTGCCTTTCACACTAGCACACTCTGATATTCAAGAGGCACTCAATTATTTGTTGACTGAATGAAAAAATAATACCAGTAACCTGAAAAGATCATTGTAATTGAAGCTACATTTAATTACTTCAAGATGCAAATTTAACAGAATTAAGTAAGATAAATAAGCTATAGAGTGTGTTAGAAGATGGTATGGAGGAAACAGAGCAGGCTAAGGAAGATTAGGGGTACCAGAGTTGAAGGGAGCAGGGAGGGTTACAATTTTAAATATGATGTTCAGTCTATACGTCATTGATAAGGTGACAGTTGGGTAAAGGTAAGAGGGTTAGCCATGTAGATATTCTGGAGAACAGCATACAAGGCAAAGGGAAGAGACAAGTAAAATCTCTACATTGGGAACATGCCTGGCATGTGCAAGGAAGGAGGTCCATGTGGCTGGAGCGGAGGGACTGAGGAGGAGATAGTAAGAGATGAGCTCAGAGGCGTAATGGAAGGTGAAATTGTGCAGGCCTTTGTGAAGACTTCAGATTTAAGTAAAAGTGGAGAGCTACTGAGGGGTCTGGAGTAAAGGGAATAATGGGATTCACTCTGCCTCCTATACTGAGGACTGCAGGGAGCAGGAGCAGCACGGGGAAATCTACTGCGAAAGCTACTTAGAGTAATCCCGTATAAGAGTGGTGGCAGTGGAGGCAGTGAGAAGCAGTCAGATCTATGATATATTTTGAAGGCAAAAGCAATGGGACTTTTTGAGGGATTGGATACAGGTTGTGAGACAGAGAAAGGAATCAAAAATAGTTCAAGGGTTTGGGGCTTGAGCCAGACAGAGTTGACATCTGAGACAGGAGAAGCTGCTGGAAGAACAGGTTTGCGAAAATGTTTGAGAGAAAACATTTGGGCATTTTAAATATTAGATGTCTATTAAAAGTCTAATCAATAATAAGATATGAGTCTAGAATCCAAGAACGACAAAGTCGTAGCTAAAAATGCAAATTTGGGGGTCAAATGGCATATGAATGGCATCAAAAGCAATGAAAATTGATTCAGTCACCAAGGAAATGAGTATTGGTAGGGCAGAGAAAAAGACCAAGGGCTGAGTCCTGGGTACTCTAACATTAAGAGATCAGAGAAAGAGAAGTACTATATGACTTCATTCATATGCAGAATCTAATGAACAAAATAAACTGACAAACAAAATAGAAAGGGATTCATAGATAGAGAACAGAATGACAGCTGTCAGAGGAGAAGGGGATTGCGGGGCTGGGTGAAAAAGATGAAGGGATTAAACAAAGGCAAAAAGAAATGCTTAGACACAGACAACACTTTGGTGATTACCAGAGGGACAGGGGAGTGGGTGGAGGTAGAAGAGGGTAAGGAGGTGATACATGGTGATGGAAGGAGACTTGACTTGGGGTGGTGAACACACAGTACAATATGCAGATGATGTGTTATGGAATTGCACACCTAAAACCTATGCAATTTTATTAACCAATTTTACCCCAATAAATTCAATTAAAAATTTAAAAAGAGGTCAGAGAAAAGAATAGGAACCGGCAAAGGGGAATGAGAAAGAAGTAGTAAAACAAAAGGACAACCAAAAAGTTGTAGTGTCACGGAAGCCTAGTGAAAATCAACTAAGAAAAACACTCAGAACTGACTACTGGATTTAGCAATATGGAAGATTCTGTGACGTGACAAGAACATTTCAGTAGAATGATGGAGGCAAAAACCTGACAGGAGCAAAAATGAGAAGAGGAATTAGATACAATAAATTTAGACAATTTTGAAGAGTTTTGTTACAAAGGAAGATAAGACATGAGAAAATAACTGGCTGGCTTTTTCTTTTTTCAAGATAGGAGAAATAACAATAGGTTTATATGCTTCTGGAAAAATCTGGAAGACAAGATGTTGGAAAAATTATCTACACTCTTATGGAATAACCAAGAATTAAGACAAGTATAGGGTTGGAGAGCATGACAATGAAGATTGATGACATGAAATTAAAAGCTGTGTTGTCCTTTTAATTTATCTTTATGGTTTAAAGTATTACAGATGACCCCTCTTTTGCCCCATCGACCCCTCTACCCTGCTTCCCCCACCACCACCCAGGCCTTCACCACACTACGGTCTGTGTCCATGGGCTACGCATATATGCATATAAGTTCTTTGGTTAATCTCTTCCCTCCCACTCCCCCCCCTGCTTCCTTCTGAGATCCATCCGTCTGTTCTATGCTTCCAGGTCTCTGGATCTATTTTGTTAGTCAGTTTATTTTGTTCATTAGATTCCACATATAAGTGAGATCATGTGATATTTGTCTTTCTCTGACTGGCTTATTTTGCTTTATTTGGAAGAAGTAGTAAGATATAAAAAAGAGAGTCAATCCACGTTCAGACCCAGTAATTCAAGAGCTAAGGGAACAAGCACAGGTCCTCAACTTTAAAGAGCTGCAGAGGAAACAGTATCTTCAGAGGACAGCCAGTTTCCACTAGAACAAGGTGAAAGGAAGGAAAATTCAGAGACGTCAAGACTTTTGCTGATGATGGATCATGAATTCCTGAGGGCATGAGAGTTTCAGCAGTTGAGCCAGGATAACAAACAGAAGAGGGATATGCAGAGCCTTATGGGATTAGATGGCAGGAATAGGAACGCGGTGGGAGTCTGGGCTTCTTGCAGCGGCAAATATAAAATGGGATAAAGGGCACAGTAATACTGGTGAACTCAAGAAAGATCATGATGGGAAAGTTGTGAGTGTTTGGGGGACCAGGGAAGTGCAGGGGAGTGTGGCTCTCTCTTGATTCTTACTGGGGGAGAGTGTATTTTCTCCTAGTGCTGGGGCTTCCTCTTGACTCCTGTTGATGGAATTGATGGACCTGAGGCTGGTTCCCTTCATTATTAACAATTTTAAAAATTCATGTCACCATCACACATATGGATTTCTGATCAAAATAGCTTCTAATTTAAAAACATTTCCCTGCTCTGGGGGAAATGTAATTTTTCACAGCAGAGTTTGGTTTTACTTACATCTGTGTTACAGGAGCGATACCGTTTCCTTTCCCCAAGGCAATATTTTCCACCTCCTGAAGGTCTGAAAACACATTTTGTTTAACATGTGAATATACTACATCTATCCACATAGAAAGTACATATATTGCATGATGAAAACATATTAACATTTACTTTAAGAAAATACCAAATTTGACATTTTATTAGTTATTAAAATAATCATGCCCGTGACTGTTAGTAATAATGATTATGATTGCTGAATGTTAAAATTAAGGGAATTTACTATGAGCAGCTTTGCAAGGCTATTAATTGTCATGATTTACACTAAGAAAATGCAATTAAATTGATGTGTTTTCTAATTCTAGCAAACAGGTGATTAGTTCAGTCTGAGATTCGAGCTTAAATCACTCATTTATGATGAAAAGCCACTTGAATAAAAAAATTCAACAAAACCCATACCCTGATGCTACACGTTCACCAAGTTGGAAATGAAAAGTTCGCTTTTTTCCCAGACTGGAAACAAGAGAGGAAACTAAATAACTCTCTGGAAATAGCTTTAGTTTGAAGTAAATAATGCAGAAGTGAATTTCTATCTCATTTCAAATATACAGTTTAAAAAATTAAATCTAAACATCAGATGGGTTTGTATTATATAAATGCTTTATATAATACTCAAATTAATGAAAAAGTGAGATGTCAAATATTTTATTTCCATAAATTAATTTTTAAAGTATTTAACGTTAGGGAGGGCCATATGCTGTAATTTGAATGCTATTTTTGAAAACTAAGTTGTTCTTTTAAAAGAGGTCTGGTCATTCTCTTAAATATCTGGGCATATTATTTATTATAGGGTTTTATAATTTTGGTTATCATTCTACAGTAAACTATAGTTGAACTTACATTAATTATTCTGTACTTGTTTTAAAAAGATCAAAGTCTAACTTAGAACTTTGGTTCACTGGAATCAATGGGATAATTAAAGTCACAGTTTTGAATATATTTTGAGTGCCAGTAAATGGTGACTCTAAGCAAGGAAAGAAATGGCCCAGCTTGAACCAACGTGGGAGAAATGGGTCAGTCAGGCAAAAACAAGGTAGTGAGGACGGTGGTAGCATGGCGGGTTTATGAGTGGGTGACGGTGAGGGAGCGCTGTTTAGCAGGAGGGTAAAAATCGATAGAAAGTGGGAGAATGGAAACACAGAATTAATATCAAGGGAAACAGTTTCAAGAAAAGGGACATTTAGAGAGGAGCCAAAGGAGAGGGCTACTGAGTTAAAATGAGAAAAAAATAACAACTTTACCCCAGAAGGAGGAAAAAAGCAGAAGTGATTAACATCGTTCGGCATCACAATATTTGTTGGGGAAGAAGGCCCCCAACCTGAGCTCTAGACAAAAATGTGAAGCCCCTGACCTGCTGGAGCTGCTAAGGAGCAGTTGAGTCTGCAGAGGGACAGGAAAGACCAAGCAGAGGTGCAGTCCACCTGTAACGGGCATTGGTGGGAGGGAGGGCAGTGGGGAGAGCCGAGAATACTGACGGGACTGGCCTTCCTCCGGGGGACTCGGGCTGGAGGGAAGGATGGTGGGAGAGGAGCAGCTGACCTGCAGAAAACAGTCGCGGGGAGGAAAGTGGTGGCAACTCCGGAAGATGATGAATGGGGGCATGTGAATGGAAACTATTTTAACACATGGGCAGCACTCTTTTCATTGTGATTTGTGATGCGAATCAAGGCATTTCAACCCTTCAAGTGCTCTCATTGGTCCTTTTAATACTAATGTAGCAGTAATAATTTTATGTGACATCTGAAAAGACCTTAGGTTTCCTGGGAATAATGCTAATGTGGCTAAGACCAGACCTGGATTCATCCATAATTCAGTAGGTTCTTGGAGGAGGAAATCTATCTGATTATTAGTAGATTAAGAAGCCTGGCTATACCTGGGGTAGATACACAATGCTTTTCTTTTTTCTCTATTTTATTTTTAGCTCTGTAGTAAGGGGCGAGGGAGAAAAGAAAGTCTGTCTAACAGGCTCCTCCACTCTCCTGTGCCTAGTGCTTGTTCCGAAGACAAGCACTTGGCTCAGGAGTGAAACGTTTTTACAGATAACATGTGAAACCACAGCTTTGAATCATTTCCAACTGTGTCTTTTTGTTGGCTCCGGCTTACTTTAGCTACTTACGCTGGACTGTCACAGTGTCTTAGGGATGAAGAGACGCCTCCCCCGCAGGTCCTGCTGCACTCTCCCCACAGTGACCAGGCACCCCAGCCCCCATCTACGCTCCGGGGCCACGTGCCAAAAGCAACACAATCTCCCTGATAACACCACTGCAAGATTTCACAGAAAACACAGAATTAGCTTTTAGGCAGATACAGCTATCAGGATAGAAACACACAGGGTGCAGGCAATGACCAATTCCAGGCATTAGCATTCCCCCCATAGATAACAGGCTGAGTTCTTTAACCATGTTTATACTTTGGCGATGGCGCGTGTGATTTGCAAATTATCTTTAGCTGGGCAGTGATTTCTAAATCTCTAACATGTACCAGGAGTCTAAAAAACCTGACTTGACTTCTCTTTTCTTGTTTCGCCTACTCCAGACTCTTAGTGTTTCTCATTACAGAGACCTCAAAAGTCTTTTTTAGATATTTTAGTATTAAAATTTTTTTCTTTATATTCCACTATTATTAGACTCATGGAATGATAACGCAATATGGAAAGTTCCCCAGTAAGGAATTTTTATGGTGGTAATTGCTTTTTCTTTAAAAAAAAAAAAAAAAGAAAGAAAGAAAGAAAAGGCTGGTTGAGGCTACAATAGTAAAAGAATGTGTTGTGGCATTTCATCTACACGAGTACTGCAGACATAATAAAAGTAATGCCAAGACACTAGGGACCGGGTACAAAAAAACCCTTATATACACCGGCCAGCCATGTGCATAGCCCCTGCGTGAACATGTGTACTGGAATTCTTCTCAGCTTTACTCTCTGCAATAAACCACACATACTGCACATAAGTAGAAAGCCAGGAATAATTTATCGAGACGCAGACATCAAATAATCAGCTCATAACTCTAACATGATAAATCTTACTTGCAGAATATGGTAAAAATGAAAGCCTTTTGTAAAAAAAACCAAGCATTTCTAGGCTGTTACTGGTGCATTTTTGTGAATTACCATCAAACATTGACAAACCATGCTCATGTTATGAAAATCATTTGTTTATATAAATAACAATAGGCAACATTATTAGAGTTGAGTAACTGTCAGCAATGTTAGGTTGCTAAATAAAAATTCAACCTTATATTACAACATAAAAGGATTATGACATGCGATGCTTAGTAAGTAATCATTTAATTATACTAATTCTATATATCCAGAATTTTTCACTGCTACCAATGGCAAATGGAATAGCTTCTTACCTGGTCTCCCTATCCCCACTTTTTTTCTACCTATAATCAATCTGTTCTCCAGTAAGCATTCAGAGAGATCTTTAAAAACATATTATCATATCATGTCTCTGTTTTGCTTAAAAGACTGGTGGTTTCCCTATTTCCCTTAACTCTGGGCAAGAGTGGCCTGTGGGAACTACCACCTGCCTCCTTCTCCTGCCTTACTCTCTCTTTCACGTATTGCTTCAGACATACTGGCCTTCTTTCCTTTCCTCAAACACTAAGCTGTTCCTTTCATAGGGCCCTTGCATCTGCTGGTCCCCCTGGGAACACTTCTCACAATTCCTAATATTGCTATCTTGTCATTCAGTCTCAGGTCAAGTGTCATTTCACCAGAGAGACTTTTCCTCGACCACCCTTATTCTGAAGGGGTACCTCCAGGGTGTAATCATTTTGGTTTACACTACTTCTAATTATCCTGTTTATTTTTCAAATTACTTCATTACTGTCTGTCTCCTCTCCTTAGTATGTAAAAACCTTAATGTGACATGTGTGGCTATTTAAATTTAAATTAATTAAAATTAAAAATTCAGTTCCTCAGACCCGCAAGCTACATTGCTGGGGCTTCATAGCCACATGTGTGGCGACAATGTTGGATGGGGGAGATCTAGCACGTTTGTCACCACAGAATGTTGTATTAGAAATACTGAATGTCTTGAACAGGGCTTAGCATGTAGTAGATAAGCAAAAGAAATCTACTGAATGAATGAATGCATGAGTTCAATTTTAGAATTCTCTGTCGTTTTGGTTGCTACATGTCAGAAAGGAACTGGAAATACTGGAGAGTAAAGAAAGTCCAATGCATCTTTGTTTCCCTGGTAGTAACACTCAGTAAATATTTTAATAGTTATGACACCATAAAAGTCTTTTTAGAGACGTGCTGAGCAATTATCATTTGTCCACAAAAAATTAGGCAAGAGGAAGTCAAATTCTGATCGGCTATAAGGCAGAACATTCCGATCCTTAATCTAATAGATATTAAAGTGGGATATTATAGCATTAAAGCTTGATTTTGCATTTTATAAAATCACAGAGCTGCATCTTATGCTCAAAAGGACTTCAGCATTCGTGTGATGTAAGCACTTAATTTTTCAGATGAGGAAGCCAGAGCCTAAGGAGGTTGACTTGCCCAAGGTCACTTATGGGCAGAAAAGAAGGGAATATCTGTCCAAAAATACACAAAAATCAGTGGAGAAAAAAATCTATTGGAAGTGTAGAATTATATATTTGAAGACATTAAATAATACTCTAATATACTTGACTGAACTGCTTTTACTACAAAATAACACTAGAGACTAAAAATCTGCTCAGCTGTTAAGTGTACAGCACATGTTATTTCAGAACTCCTTGAGTACCTGTGGGGAAAAAATTCACTTTCTGCATTTTCAGGGGCTAAGGAATTGTGAAGGCCATAAGAACACTGAAAGATGTAGGTTCCAAAATATTTAATAACATTGTTATATGTTTCCTGGAGACTCACAAACTGTAGAACAGGGAAGGGAGCCACACAAATTATCTTGTTTTCCTTTTAAAACTTATCTTTAAGGTAGTAAAAGATAAATACAGTATTCAGTTTATAAAATGTCGCTCAATTCTCATGATTATTTAACATCTACACAACAGTAGTATTTCATAACTGGTTTGCTAGAATCTTTTACTGCATAAATTTATGCTACTGATTATATCTATTCCATGAAGTTATAACATAATAGACAATTATATCAGAAAGTTAAATAACAGAGATTAATGGGTAAAAATGAAGAATTCATAAGTATCATTCATCTACCAATCAACAAGAGATTAGTGTCTAGTTTAACAACTAATTAACAACTTGGTTAACTAGTTAACAACTTCAGTCTGTGAAGAGACAACTTCACCCTATGTAGCCTGTGTTACAAATATGAGTCCTCATTATGACAATATCTTTGGTTTAAAGCAAGTTTATTTATTTATTTTCTTTAGTTTCTCTAACTATAAAATGGGGGCTAACTTTAGTTTTTGATTCCAATATGGTTTGGATTAAGACAACTTTAGAAATTATTTCTGTGCAGACATACCTTCAAAGAAGTTAAAAACCTACCAAAGGTTTGAATTCAATCTCTGGTAAATGTTCCTTTTTGTGTGTTTTGTTTAGCTTCCTCCCACCTTGTATTTATAGGAAGGGATCTCTTTGGAATTCCTCCTATCTCCCACCTCTGGTAGCAGTAAGTTTCTTGATGTAGCACATGATTTTAAGAAAAGAAACTTATTTAACCTAATAATAACTGCTTTAAGAAATCTATACGGAACTTCATGCAGATCAAGTTATATGAGCTAATTTTCTAGATGATTACATGAATCAATATATAATGACTTTAATGTCATAAATAATATAATTAGATTACACTAAATAAAGCAACTTGAAGTATATAAATCCTATAAACACATAAAGGTGAGAATTTTGAGTGTTGTATTTTCTATTTTTGTCTCTTTTTTCCCCCTGAATTTGCCAAAACTTTACAAGCTCTATTTCCATAGGCATAGAATTTTATTTCTTTTCCTGAAACTAGAAGAGTTACATCCTCAGATGGGAACCAGTTTCTAACCCTTATTCTCAAAGATTATATCTAATCTAGTGATGTAGTCTAAATATCAGTCAAATTATCCAGACAAAATGAATAAATTTTGCCTTCTTTTTGCCAATTCAAGTGTGTTTAACCAGGTTTAGAAGGGTGAAAGTAAAACTATCCCATTCCAAGAATAAAATCTCAGATTGTTCATTCTCACTTTTCAAATTCCATCAAAGTAAAACAAATATATTTTAAAACTATCTAGAAAGACAACATATTCCAGGTGAAGCTTTAAAAGTTTTCCTAGTGAAGCTTTAAAAGTTTTCCTAAGAAACCAGTATTAAACAACATCTCTTGCTATTAGACACTGAATTTCATAATGCACATCAGGGAATGGTCTTTAAGCAAGATACATTATAAATCAAAAAATCTAACCTTGAGAATTTGTCAGAATTCCACAAAAAATTTTTAAGATGAGTATACTTTTAAAGTATTTTTTATTTTTAAATATTGAAAACATACATATTTTTTAACTGGAGTCACTCTAGGATGTGACTATGGTAGGTCTTGAACTATAGCCAGCACGGGGTCCAGCCAGCATCTGGAATGGGAGCCCTCTAAGGAAATCCTAAGATTTTAACGGAAGTGATATTGGTGATTCAATATAGAACATTCTTCAGTCAGAAAAGCCAGAAGTTGGAGCACAGGACCATTAAAAGCCTTATCTTCCCACTCTGCAGGTGCGGGAATGCTGAAGCTTATTTCAGCCCAAATTCTAAATCAGAACTTGTCATCCCATACTATTTAAATTTCTAGAGCAATTCAAGAGCTATTCTTTCTTTACTTCCTGTGTATATAATTCGAAGCATGTTATATTCTACTCTAAGATCTACCCAGTGCTTTAGAAGGGTAGATAGTAACCCTCGTCTAATCCAGCCCCATGTTTCCCATACAAAGACATTAGGAACCAATGTCATATATATGTAAGTTCGAATGCTGTGCTATATTTCTAACTGAGTCTTGTCGAATCATCAAGTCAATCTTTTGGCAATAAACCAAGTCTCTGAAGCCTTCTTTGTGGTCACCATCAGAGCTTGCCAGGATTGAGTTTTCCTTACCCTTAATACCCCGTTCGGTAACAATGCCCACACTGCTATCAGAGTTTTTACCGTCTGAATCTTTGTTTACTACTCATCAGATATGGCATCCCTCCGATGCCTGTCCAAAGTGCTATTGCTGATGCCATGTCTCAGGGAAGTTTTTTTGGCTTAAAGTTATATTAATTGATTTGTAGGAGTTTGACCCATGGGCGCCCAGTACCAACGTGCGCACTCTCTGGGCTCATCAAATTCCCTCCTCTGGTTAACGCTACTGTCCCTAAGCACATCCATTCAGACCATATGGTTCTTATTCAACCCCTGAATGGCTTATTCAGGCAGACATCCAATGGCTGGAATAGCAATGTCAGACCCCCCAGGACTCACGCAAAGATCAGTTTTTAATTTTTTGGCCATATTTCTTACTCCATCTGCTAAATGTGCATGGAACAGTTCCCATACTTACATGGAACATTTGTGGAACTGCGCCTCGGGCAGGGATCCCATATCTTTTGCAGCCAGAGTTTGACGAGATCATTGCGGATCCAGTCCTCTGGATATGTCTATGCTATCACTTAAGCAATACTTCTCTCCCCCCAACATTTAAAAAAAAATTTATTCAAAAAACTATGAGCAGCTTTGGTGTTATCCTGCTGGCTAGACAGGATGTAGGTTCTTTCTTGTTTTTTCTGAGGAGAGTAGTTTTGAAATTTAGAGATCAGAAGTCATGTTTATTTCATTCCTGTTTCTGAGGCACACAAATTCATGCTTATACTTTCTGATGCTCAGTACTGCCAGTTAAGACAGTCTGACAAAGAATTTTCTGTCCACAATCATCTAAGGTTTGGCAAATAATCAAAAGTAATGATGAGGCTCTAGTATTATATTCTAGTACCTTCCTTCTGCTGAAGCCCATAAAAAGTTCACTGAGATATTATCTCATTTTATCCTTACAACACCTCTATGAAATAGGTGGAAATAAGTTATCATTTTTAAAGCGGAGGTTCATTATTTTTCCAATTGTAACACAATCATATATTCTTAGTTCAATGTTCTGTCCACAGTGCCTTCCTGTTGGATTCCTAGATAAGATGCTGTTACTGGTAGATAAGAGAAAAATCCACTTAGAATTAAAGGGTAAAATACATTGTCACCATCAATCTCAAGCTCAGTAACCCACTTTATTCCTATGACAATAAAAATTTGCTTTTTTTTCCTCTATAAAATTTCCCATCTAAAGGTAAAGTAAAGTCAGAGGAATACAGAGGGGCACAGTTTTCAACTTTGGAATTAGAAAGACCTGGGCTGGAATCTCAGCTCTGCTATAAAATTGCTTTGTAATCTTACGCTTTCAAATTTTACTTTCTTCATCTGTAAAATGGAGGTAAAAGAGTACCCACCTAATAGGATTTTGGTCACTACTAAACAGAACAAATATGTGCCTGGCACAGTATAAGTACTTTAAAAATATTCACTCTCATCATCATCACTATTGGTAATGCCAACTATTTTTAGATGGCAAGAATACAGACTAGCCACACAAAGTTGACCTGACCAATTGAAAATTCCACTTTAATTTTGTCCCTAGTTCTTTGCATGGTTGTTTTGATTTGAGTCAAAATGCTGAACTCTGTTTTAATTTCCAGATAGATACAGCCTTAGGAGGAAAGTCTGCAATTTGGCAAAAGTAAACACACTTTTCTTTTAAGAAGAAAAAAAATAAGTGAAATCAACAAAACAAATTTGTAAAAAGATAATATGACAAATGCAGTTACTAAAAACATAAATTAAAAATAAATTAAGGCGCTAACCAGTTTGACTCAGTGGTAAGAGCACTGGTCAGCCTGCAGACTGAAGGGTCCTGGGTTCAATTCTGGCCAAGGGCCTATACCTCAGTTGCAGGTTCGATCCCTGGCCCCATCAGGGCTCGTGCAAGAGGCAACCAATGTGTCTCTCTCACATCGATGTGTTTCTCTCTTTCTCTCTCTCCCTTCCTTCCACTCTCTCTGAAAAGCAATGGAAAAAATATCCTCAGGTGCCCAGCCAGGGTGGCTCAGCGGTTGAGCATCAACCTATGATCCAGGAGATCGCAGTCAGATTCCCGGGCAGGGCACATGCCTGAGTGGCAGGCTCAGTCCCCATAAGAGGAGACAGCCAATCAATGACTCTCTCATCATTGATGTTTCTCTCTCTCTCTCTCCCTCTCCCTTCCTCTCTCCGAAATCAATAAAGATATATTTTTAAATAAATAAATAAAAATGTTTAAAAAATATATATATGTATATGGTCGGGTAAGGATTTAAATAAATAATTGACAAAGAACTGCTCAGCTCAGCTGTCTAGTACTTTGTACTCTTTCTCCTTAAAAATGTAGGTTGATCTAGTTCTTTAAAAACTTCTTCATAAATTCAAAGCTAATGATAGGAATATGCTCAGGGTCTTCTAGTATACTCTTTTTCTTTCCAGGGAGTCTACATGTGTTTGTTTTCATTCACTCATTCATTTTAAAACTTCTTAGCACCATTCCTAAAGCTGCCTATTGACGTTTCATATCCCTGGAACAATGGCTAAGATTTTTGTTTGGAAGAATAATTTTAGATGGTGATACTGACTTTTTGCAACTAAACTCTAATGTTGTGAATATGAATGACCTCTTGGAACACAAGCTTTGTTACATTTACAAGGTTCTTAAATAGTTTTTCATGAAGCTCAAGATGTTCTGTTGAATTATGTTGGAAGCTGACAGGGTAAAGAGGCAGGTAAGGTATTCTTTTAACCACATCATTGCCATTTTTTTAAGTGTATATTTCAGAATTATATAGACCTCATTTGAAAAAAGGGGATAAGGGTCAAAAAGTTGGCAACCAACGTAAACTAAAAATGTGAATCTTTAGAAATCAAGTATATTTCCCCATTTTATTCACTTTTTATCTGTGCTTATTCTTATTTATGCTTAGAATTATATTTCCCTTCTATTTATTTATCTAAATTCAAATTTAATACTGTTAGCTTTAATATTATTGAGCGTGTCTTCTAAATATCCCTCAAAATTGTCTCTAATTTTCAAGAAATATGTCATCTCTATCACATATGTGCACATAGCTATAAGATATGGCATTTGACAGTCTTGCAATTAAGCACAAATTAGAAGATATTAAATATGTGTTTACCATGTAAATGATTGGTGGGGGTAAGTTATGTGTTCTCAAATAGCCACTACTTGTGATTTACTTATTTGGAGTGATTATATAATTTATGGAATGCTTTAGAAGAGCTCTGAAGTATTTTAAAAAATAAAATTTTTTTGCCGTAGGGTTAGAAATAAAGTCAAATAAAAAGAGCCCATGAGGCCTAGTGATAGTATTATTCCAAGCAAATAGAAACCATGGCCCATAGACTAGATTACAAGAATAATAATCCATTGCAAATAAGGAAACAGATTCTCACTGTGACTTCCCCCCTACAGTTGTGTATTTCTTCTAAGTACAGATTGATTTAAATTGCTACTTGTCGATGACAAGAATTGTTGGTTCCAAAATAAACCCAGACTATTGTTTCAAGAATGCGGTTCCTAATACTTTCTATTACTTCAGTGAAAAAAAAAAAAAAAAGAAGGAATTTTTGGTCGTGTGCGAAGATCTCTGTATTTGTATTGGCTACTTACGTAGTCTCAAAAAAAGATCCTTAATCCTTTAAAATGACCCTATCAATTCATACATTTACCATAATTTACCAACATTTCCAAACTCAGCATGGAAAAGCTATCAACATGGCACTAGGTCATGGGTCCTGAATGAAGCCGTCAGCAAGGATTAATAAACTGTGACAGCTGCCCAAAAGCTCTCATTCTTTTTATTTAAACATCAGTTTGCAAGCTGAAATCCAGTGTAATCTTTGTTGAAAGTAGCCCAACTAACATGGAAGAAGTCAGAACTGAGAACAGATGACAGTAGTAGTTATTATTGTAAATCCAGTCCATAGCAATAAATTCTAGAATTCACATATATAGAAATACCTAGAGAACTTCAGGAATAGCATAAACTAGTCCTATCTGTTTCAGCAATTTCTAATAATATTTTTGAAAACTCCACTGATGAAACCAAAATTATTTAGCTCCAATTTCTGTGCTCTATAAGTTGTTTAAGTATCCTTCTACTATTAGCCCTTTCTCTCATACTGCAATTTCAAAGTGACTCTAGTTAGACTACAGTTGTAAAATATTCTAGAATCACATAATTTTCCTGGGTATTATTTATCAGAAAAAAACAGACATATGACTAAGCAGACTATATTATGTACTATTGTTGGTGGACATTTTCTATACAAATATAACTCACACATATACATACAGAAAGGTGAAACTGACCCAGAAAATAGTTATTCACTGTAATTTCCTGACCAATGCATATTTGCAGAAAATCAAGTTATGACAATTAACTCAATAGACTAGAAATGCATTATTTTCTCAAGTACATTTTAATTAATGTGCATGATTTCCTAGCAGCTGAATATCAACGCTAAACATTTATCAAATAGCTAATAAACTTTGAGCTTACCCCCTTTTCAATATTCCCAGTTTGGCAGAGTGTTCCCTCAGCTGCAGGAATACTGTTGGTGACACAGCGGTTGCTTTTGCTGAGACACCAGAGCTCTCTACACACTTCCTAGGAAAGAAGGCAAAAGCAAGTTGATCAGAAGTAAAGACTAAAATCATGTCCACTCTTCCATAAAATAGGCCCACAGTCACTCAGCATTATTTGTTTCTTGCTGGTGCTGAAGCATCAAAGGGGAAGATTTTGGAGGAGGCTCTTATGGAAGGTGGGTTATCCATTGTACAGAATCATTTAAATGTTTGTCTTTAAAACCCTCATTTTAGTAGATAAAGTATCTCTTAGTTTTTAATATTAAGATCTTTTAGAAATAATATACAGAAACTTCATTAATAGAGAAGGGTAGGGAAAAAGATTGAATATGTAGAAAGGGAATATATGTTTATTTCTCTCAAGAATACATAACAGAACAAACTTACCAATTACTAATAGAGTGGTGCTAGGTATTTGTCATCTTAGATCTACTGTAATAGTCAAATAAAGACCATTTTAAGAAGAAAAAAGAGACCATAGGAATAGGCAGGGAGTAACTTCTAAAATTCAAAGTTGCCTAAAGAACAATCTAGCAATGTTATTTGCAGTTCATCAGTGTAGCCCACCATCTTCATGAAAGGGAAATTTGGTTTTGAACAAATGCTGCTGTTTATATGTCACTTCTATAATTGACAGATTTTGGACATTGTTTGGAGCTGTCTTGTCTTCTTTTTTAGGATTTTTCATTATCCTACTTCATCATGGGGAAAATTACAACACTTATTCTAATATCAACAATGTAAAGTACCTCATTTTGTTCACACACTATCATATTTTAAAATTAGCTGTTCCACACATATCTGAATAAAGTGTTTTAAGTACTAGCCAAAAAAAGCTTACTTTGAAGAAACTCAAAATTTTCAGTTTCTCTTTATATGATCACCAACTAGCATAATTAATGATATTGCAAGTTTTTAATTTAAACTAGAACCACTGAGTATAAAATATCTTTTTGCAATAAAAATATATTAATCTGGAATGCAAAAATAAATTTATATATAAGATTCATTTATATTGTTATTATTCCCCAACTGCTCTTTAAACTCTCAAAAAACTTAATTACAAGAACTTATGTAACATATCACAAGACAAAATTTTTTTTTGACCATGTATGGTGATAGATGTTAACTAGACTTATTATAGTGATCACTTCACAATATACACAAATACTGAAACATTATGTTGTAAACCTGAAACTAATATAGTATACATCAATTATATCTCAATTCTAAAAAATTTTTAAAGAACTTATGCCACATTAACACAATTCAGAAATGAAGCGGTAACAGTGAGTTAACTCAAATGTTCCAGAAAATGGGAATGCCTCAGAGTATAGGAAACTGAAGGGATTTCTTTGAGTCCTTCTCTAGGATGTTCCCCCAACCCATCTCACCAGGCAGAGAAAGGGACATATAATTTCTACTAGACTTTAAAAATACTTTTCGAAAATTATCTACTTTAAACTCTATTTTACTTTATTTTTCTACTTGAAACTCCGTGTTGAGAATTATTGAGGCAGAAGAGTTAAAGCATTAGAAAATAAAACAACACATTCTGTGAGTCATAATATAAAACTTCCCTGTTCTTGCAATCCAGTTGATTACAAACTCTATTTTCTTTCAAGGCTTCAGTTTCTGTTTTAAGAGAAGGTTATTTATGCTACTTCATTCTTCCTTTTCTACAGGAGATTGATTTTCAGTACATGTTCCCAAAATGTATTCTTTTAGTTTAATATTTAAAAAACAGTAGGACTAACATGTTAACGTCTTCAAATATTGTTCCCATGTATCAAAAATACCCACATTCAAAGAAAAATGGGTTCACAAAAATAGACAAGCATTGCTAGAACAATGTATTAAGAGATTACCAAAAAAACCCCAAAAAACAACCCTAACCATAATCCTGGATCATACTCCTGATCTTTAATGATTTTTATTAGGCTTAAATATTACTTTGGACAGAATTATACAATGAAAATTCTATCATGGAAAACAACAATATCCTATATTAGGAGAACATACTATTTAGACAAGTTACAGAAACTTTCCAAAAGTGCCTTGAAAATCTCTACCCAAGCGGCAAGTGTTCAAGATACTTTTTCCCAAAACTTTAATCTCAAGAATCACAATAGAGAGGCCCCTGAGGGCAGCGCCCTTATCCTTCAGAAGAGGGCACATTTTAAAAGGCAGATTCCCAAGTTAAACAGGATTTTATGACCTTAGCCATTTCTGGGGATTCAACTTTTGCTAGGGCATTAACTTCTCACAAATACTGTTTAAAGTACAGGACTGAACATCTATGTATGGGAACTATTCCCAAGATGTAAAACGATTCTTGGAGAATGCTCTGAAGAGTCTTCAGCTAGATCTCTCATCTAGTGTATCAACTTGGATAAGAAAGACTTTGATATCCAAATTAAGATTTCTAAAGATTACAAAAAATTCTCTCGAAAGATAAAACCCAAGAAAATTTCATTTCATACCCAGCAAGCAAGAGGTATACTTCCTGAAAGAACTTGAGAACAATTTCACATCTTCAGAAACACCCTGCTTTCTCTAAACTGCTGGAGCTCAGAACATGGATGGCGTACTTGCACAGATGTGTCTGTTACAATTGTACATGCATGTTAGTTGTTAAATAAGTACCTAAAGTAGGTCCCAAGCTCTACTTAAGTTAAATACATGCTCAATGTTTTTGCCTCTTGGGGAATTTGTATAACAATCATCATCATAGGTGGGTTAATTTCCTTGAATGATTTGACTAGCCACCAGCTTAGCTCTAGAAGAACATAGTTATCTTTCACATACTCATGCTTATTTATAGAAATTAAGATTTATTAAAATAAGTCTCATGAATTAATAAATCATTGCCTGTGCATTAGGGTGATTAATTCTCTTCTCTAACCATACAATTCATTTTGGGAAGACTCTCCAGAAGTGTGGTCTTTGTGCCTGCCCTTGAGTTAAAGGAAGAAGAGAGAAGTTACCAACAGTCTCCACTATTGGAAATTTCTGTCACATGATACTGAAAATTGCAAATAGCATCTCTAATATCATGGGATCAACTTCTAATCAATTAGGAGGATTGCCTGGTAAAACAAAAGTAACAGCATTATTTACCATTCATGCAAGACTATTTGTTAAGCACCTACCATTTACCTCACCAAGCATTACATTAGTGTTATGAGAAACCAACACTATCACTTAGAATTTACAAGAACCAGGAAGGAGGCAGGGTATAAAAAGACATGTAGCCCAAAAGCCATGGATTGGTACTGCTCTTTGATCAAGTTTTTAATATTCTGTGACAAAATTAGAAGAATGATGTCAATGTGGTTTTTTCATGATACTAAATGTTTTATTTTCATGAACTTCCTTATTTATTGTTATTCCTTTTACTTTTTAGGTGTTACGATAAACTATAAGATTATTCATGGCAGGGTGTGTTTGTTTATGGTAGTCCTTACAGAATGTTTCCACTTGGCAAAATTATAAGTTCATATCCCTGTGTTGATTTGCTAATTTTTGGAGAGAAATTTTCCTTGCCTACAAAAAGCTAAAAGTTTGTGAACCATTCATTGCCCAAGACTTGATAACCCATGTTCATTTCTTTCTTTTTTGCCACACATCCTCTAGTAATTAATTTAACAGGAAACTCTGGTTCTTAGTTGTACGAAGATATATTTGTTTTGCCCTCATTTTAAAAATGATATTTGAGTTGAATATAGAATTCCAGGCTGATATTTAATACTACCTTGGCATTTAAAGGTAGTAAGTTCATTATTATCTGGAAACCTTCTAGAGGTTGAGGAAAAGTCACCTGTCAGTCTAATTGCTGTTTCATTGCAATAAAGTCTGTCTAGTTGCTTTCAAAACTTCTCTGTCTTTGCTTCAGGGCAGTTTCACCACTGTATCTAAGTTTCTTTTTATTTATCTACTTGGGCTTCATGCTTTGGGAATTTGTCTATTTTTTAAATATATCTTTATTGATTTCAGAGAGAGGAAGGGAGAGGGAGAGAGAGGCAGAAACATCAATGATGAGAGAGCCAATGATCAGATGCCTCCTGCACGCCCCCCGACTGGGGATCGAGCCGGCAACCAGGGCATGTGCCCTCACTGGGAATCGAACCCCGATCGCCTGGATCCTAGTTCAATGCTCAACCACTGAGCCATGCCCGGCCGGGCTCTTTTTTTAATTCTAAAAAATTATTAATCATTGATCCTTTCAAAACAGTAAAAGAAATTAGAATTATAATCTCTGAAATTTCCATCCTTTTCAAGTAACTATAGCTGTTAAATGATACTAAAAAATGGGAAGAAAAGCCCTTTGATTTACTTGGGAAAACTGAAATAAGCAGTTCATATGAGGGGGAAAGAAATAACATAAAAGTATAACAACATTTTATATTTATTATATCATTAAGGAAGTAAAATAAAATATGAAGAGAAAATGGCATCTTTATTGCTAGAATTTGCTTTGTTTTCGGTTTTTTTAACAGCTGTACAGATTATAAAAGTGATACAAATGCTCTGCCCTTGGGGATCCTAAACCCTCTGCCATCTTGGGCCCTTGGCTGTGGCTATGACGCATTCTCTTTGTCTCACTACCCGTCAGTGACATCTCAACAGCTGCTTGCAATAAGGATCCCGATGGCCAAGGGGGAGAGCAGAGCCCTGAAGAGGTCAAGAAGGAGCGTCAATGATTAGAAAGGTTACTTATCATTGTATCACACAAAAGAAAATTGAAAACCAACATATGGTGACCCCATGGCCTGGCTCCAGGTGCTTAGTAGCCGACTGAAGAAAGAGGGTACTGTGCCCTTATTTCAGCTTTAAATAGGTTAATCCTGTTATGTGGGCAACTGAAGTGCAAGAGAGCCTGGAAGAGCACTGTGTGTGTGTATGTGCACTCTCGCCTGTGTGTGAGCCTCTGTGCCTATTATAAACAAAAAACTAATTCAGATTAATTAATTAATCATTAATTTGAAGGGGTTAAAAATGATTAAATGGTTTTTAAAAATACCTCTAAGAAGCAGACCCAGAGTGAAAACTACTAAGCTTTAAGGATACAAGTGATTATGAACCTATAATTTTGGCTTGAAATTAAAGGGAAAATCAAAATTAAATCAACTTCTTGTCAAGTGTGTATTTGATAAATATACACATTTGGGTTCCAAGAGAATATTGACTTGCTAAAGTAATGCCATGCCTTTTATTCCCTAAACCCCTATCAGACCACACTGTAGAATATTTACACCATCTTATAATCTTCAAGCAAAGTGATTTTACAGTCTCCCTCAGTGCAAAATCCCAATTTTAAAAACTTGAAATCATTCCTAGTGCCTAATCTACAAGCTTCCAGCTGTAAAAATTAAGGCCACTGTGCTTTTTAATGCTCTTGGTAGAGAAAGAGAACAATTTGTAACCAGCAATCTAACTATTATAAATGTTCTAATGTCTGAAGGTGGTTTTGAGGCCAACATTTAGCTTTTTTTTCACAGGTTACTCAAACTTAATTTCTTTAAACTTCCCTTATATGTCCTCCTAAGTACTTCACTGAGACTGAAGCATAACTCAAAGAGTGACCCTTAAAATATCTTAACATGCTCCCAACAGTACAGACGGCTCAGATTCTCGGAGAGCACTACCAGCATATCAGCCATGCAGAGATCGCCCCATGGGTGACAGATATTCACAGAGGAAAGAGAATCATTTGTTTAATGTCCGCCACGTGCCAGGTAAACGAAAAGCTCTTTATATGCCTATCTTACACTTTTGCTATCTGAAGTTTACAACAACGTGGCTCCCGCTCACTGGAAAAAGTATCCGAGTAAAATCTACTGGTGGTCAACTTCAGGTCACAGGTGATTGCTAATGGTAAGCAGTCTTGCTACTGAAAATGTCCTGTGAAAAAGTATCCTATTCCATTGTGAAACCACAAGTAAGACCCCGTGTTCCTGTTTACGCTCCAGAATACACGGTCTATGAATAAACACTGCTCAGTCCCAATGACAATGTACAACACACTACTATGCATTTATGTGCTAACTCTTAAGGCTATATAAAGTGACGAACCTCACAGATAATAATTGCCATAAATTAAACGAAGCTATGATGTCTAGAAAATTTCTCTGGTTTTGTCCTGGGTCTTAAATCTAACTCTGATAGCACTCATCTCTCTCTTTAAAACTCCTTCACTGAGGTATGATTGACATACAAGAAGCTGTACATATTCAATGTATATAACTTGGCAAGTTTGGAGATAAGTCTATACCCATGAAACCATCATCACAAATTAGGCCATAAACACCTACCACCTCCAAAAATTTCCTCTCATCCTCATTTATTGTTTTTGTGTGTATGATGATGCTTATCTCCTGAAAGAAAATATATCTGCAGTCTTATTAACATGTTTCCTGTACCTAATGGAAAGTGGAACTGACAGATTTAGACCTATTTTTATTTTTTACCTTGGAGTAGGTAAACCATATTCTGTATTTTAGTTTCCTCATCTATAAAGCATTATAAAATAATTACCATTTTAATCAAAACAGTCTGAAGTACCTCAGAAAAAAAACTATGTAAATACCAGAAACTAGATATCCTTTATAAATTACTTATAAAGTTATATTAATCTGTATATTGTGCTGTACAGTTTTGTTCTTTGTATTTATGGCCATTACAATCTCATACTTCTAATGGGATTTATCTAGAAAACATAAATGGGTGATATACAAGGTTAATGGTGGAAAATGTTGTCGTGGAGAAAAACAAAAAAGAAAAGTTTTCATGAAATGCCCAAATGTAAATAATATGTATATTAATGAACCAACTCACAAAAAAATCAGGCGAGATTTTTCTTGACTACATATGTAATCACTGGTGACCCCAGCAATGACAAAAGTGGAAGACATGGGAAGCTGATCGCTGCTGTAGTTGTGGGTCATTCTGTGGTTGTTTGGTATCTTCCCTGACATCACTAGAGATCTAGTTGAAACAGAGTTCATTTCATGACGCTTCAACACCAGACATGTCCCCTCACTTAAATCCTACAGTGCTCCTCTGAGCCTTGGCGCATATGTTTAGTGTTCATCTCAGGATGCTGCACTCAGCTATCTCAGTCAGGGCTGGTTGTTTTCCCTTTAGCTACCATCTTAATATGACTTGTTTACCTGACTGGACTCTCCCCTTCAAAGCCACTACTGCTTTCTAAAGTAGTATTTAGACTCCTTTAAAACCTTACAGATTCACCAGGTAAAACATGGAGTGTGTTTGGGTGCTATCAATTGTGTAAACCCAATTTTTCAGGCACAAGCTTAAGAGGTGGGATGATTATAAAGAACCTATTATGACTCAAGAAACTTTGTTAGTAATAGATAGCACTTCATAAAAAGTAGCATAAGTATTTTTATATAGTACATGAGTGTAAGGAAACCATTTTGCTGCAAATCAAAGTGAAAAGATTCATAATAAAATACATGAAATTGTTTAAGATTGTAAGATGTTAATGTCTGTTTTCCAATTTTAATTTATATATATTACAAAAGTCTATAAACATAATGCATAAAGAAGTAAACTCTAAAAGCTGAATATAAGGAACGTAACTGAAATTAAACTTCTCAATTATTATTTATCTCACTTCATATCAACTAGTCTGAAATAAATGAGATATACATATATAGATATGGGATAATCAGACCAATTTTTTTATTAGTTCATTAAAGAAAAAAGTACATATTATGTAATATGGAAATATATAGGTAGAGTTAAAACCCAATTTCCAATAGAAAAACTAAACATAAATTATTTCACTTGCTAACAAAGAAATGAGAAACCATACATAAGAATAATTAACAAAATCTATAATATCATTTGATCATGAATTTCAACCTACTAAACTACAAGTATATACAAAGACCGGGATTAAATTTTGGACAACTTTTTCTGAGGGAAAAAGCAACCGCCCCGCAAAAAGAAACGTTTAACCATACAGAAATAAGAATAGAAACTTTCAGCAAAGAGAGACAGGAAAGGCCAAAGTTTCACTCAGGGCTCTAACTATTCAGATAGTTGCATACAGTCTTTAAATCTAGTGTCCAAAATGTGCTGTCAAAGCTGACCATGAGTAATAATAGGCTCATCACCCAAGGAGGGCTTTAAAATCACTTTCCTTTCTACTGCACCTGGAGGAATAACTGGTATAGCACAGTGCATATATTATTTTGTCTTTACGTGAAAACAAAATTCTTTTTATTATTTTTTTTTTAAAGTGATTTTAAGCACGATTTGCAAAAAGATAGGGACCAAGTCTTTAAACTTATCTTTTACCCCCTGTACATTTTTTCACAACTTATTCAAAACTCCTATTTTTTTCTTTCAACATGCTTATAATGTGTACCAACTATAAACATGTCCCTACCCTAGACACCAAAATCTTCCTCTGAAACTCAAGAAGAAATCTGCATTCATTTCTCTGACACAGACCCTGAGACTTCTTTAGGGAGTCATGAAGAATCAGCCATGATATGGTTTTTCTTTTGCTTTTTCCCCCACAGCAGGGTTGGTGTCATCGTGTTCCCATGCAGTTGTTATGTTAGAATGTGAGCATCGGGTTGAAGCAACTTGAAATGACTCAGTACTAGAAACTACAAGTTAAAGTAAAGGCTCCCCCTAGACAATATAAAAATGCCCTTAACCCAATTATTAGAGAACCAGAAAAGGCCCGGGGACGTGGGGGGAGTTTCAAAACCATAGCATTTCTTAAACTAAAGTTGACATCATAAGCTCAGGACTTAAAGAAATACATTAGAAATTATCAAAATTCTACCAGCATCTCTCACAAGACATTTGAAAATTGCTTAATTTAGGATTACTCAAGCATTTAGAAATAGATATTATACAAATTTCAGAAAAGGATCAGTGTCAAAGGCCATATTTGCATGAATAATGTTACCAGAGGTAAAGTATATTCACCAAAACTCCATCCTAACATTTGTGTCATGAAAGAGCACATAGAAATGACTAAACATAAGGATTGAGACTTCTTACCCCATATTTACATTGGCGGGATGCTGCTCCATACTGGTAACGACATTGCTCATCAGCATCATACACCTGACCTGGGGCCACAGTTGGATAAACAAATTCACGCTTGGGAGGCTCATTATCAAGGCAAGTACCACGGCCTGAACTGTTCAACATAAAGGATCAAAGGAAATTAGGTACACTATGGACCATTTCAATCACAATTATGAAACCAGGCGATGAGCTCTTTGTTTTAATAACTTGATGCATGAAAAACAATACATTCTACCAAGAAATAATCACGTGGCAAAATAACTTTACTGAAACCTGAATGAGAGCCCCAATCATTTTTTCCCAGCACCAAGACATAATAAAAGTATCTCAGACAACAATCTGAAAATGTCAAGTTGGCCTTAAAACACCGATTTAAACCAATTTCTGAAGGAATCAAAATAGAACTTCATAGTGCTGTAAGTTTCTTGTTTGTTTTCAGTGAAAATATAACCACATCTGGTAGTAGAATTAAAAACATAAAATGTGGAAAATAAAAAAAAATTGTGGTTGTAACCCTTAAAGACTTAATCTATATATTTCCACCTGGGGCAGAACAATAGATGACATGTCCAAAGGCTCTTGAAATATTTCAATAATAAACGGGCTGAATGACAGATGAGGCCAAGATCCAAAGTTCTCCTCTCAAGTATATTACAAGTGTTTAGTCTCTCAAAATTTTCATATTTCACCTAGGGTCATCAGAATTAGGAAAGGGAATGTTCTCCTCTCTCTATAATTCCTGCTTTTCAAAGTGTGCCTGCACTCAAACATAATATTTTAATTCAGTGGAACAAATAATATAAAGATTGCCAAAACCCAGACAGAATACCTTAGCTTAAAGAGCTTTATACTTTGCTAAATATAATTGTTCATTTTATTTAGTCAGTGTGCATAAAATAGGACAGATGCTTTTTTACTTTCATTTCACATGTAAGTTAGAATTTTTAAAGAATTCCTATGCCAACATTTAAAAATTTTTTCCAACATTCCTGTCAATTGTGCCAGCACTTGTGTTTTTTTTCCCCAAATCTTTTCCATCTGCTTTGCCAAAGGAAAATAATTTCACAAGTAGAAGTTCCTCCACTATTATTTAGGACAGTACAAATTTTCATTTATAGGTAAGTAAGAAAGAACCATGCATAATAATGAGAATATTTGCTTAAATTTTTATCACAGTCTTAAAATGTAAACGTTAATTTGCTATATACAAATGTATATTTGCCCAGGAGCAAATCAATACCTTTTAAAAACTGAAGCATACTATTCATAAGGTGGATAGATGAAAACACCCAAGGGACCGAATACTGTCTTCTTTACACATTCTCCCTTTCATTTATGTTCTTTTTGGTTAATTTTGATCAATAAAAATATTTAGATGAAATATTAAATATGGGACTAAAAAAGAGGGATTTTACTATTGGCTATTACAATCTATTCACTTGTCACTGCTCACGGTATCTACCTAATAGAGAACAAGTTGGGTTTTTTTCACCCAGCTACTGAGTTTTCATGACAGAGTGCCTTTTATTTCTTGGGTTTTGTTCTTTTCGAAACTGCCATGTACCTCAGTAAGACAAATTACTTTTTGATGAATTTTAAAAATAGCAATGTCTTTTTGTTTTATAATATAAAATATCTTTAATCTATATGGGTATGCAAATTTTAGGCAAATGTAATTCTACCATAGTAAATTCAAAATTTTCACCCGGCCAGGCGTGGCTCAGCAGTTGAGCATCAACCTAGGATCCAGGAGACCGCAGTTCGATTCCCGGTCAGGACACATGCCCGGGTTGCGGGCTCAATCCCGTCGGGGGTGTGCAGGAGGCAGCCAATCAATGACTCTCTCATCATTGATGTTTCTTTTTTTTTTTTTCTTTTTTTAAAAATATATCTTTATTGATTTCAGAGAGAGGAAAGGAGAGGGAGAGAGAGAGACAGAAACATCAATGATGAGAGAGTCATTGATCGAGCCCACAACCTGGGCATGTGCCCTGACCGGGAATCGAACCCCAATCGCCTGGATCCCAGGTCAACGCTCAACCGCTGAGCCATGCCCAGCCGGGCTCATCATTGATGTTTCTATTTCTCTCTCTCTCTCTTGCCCCCTCTCCTTCCTCTCTCCAAAATCAATAAAGATATGTGTGTGTTTTTTTAATTTCCTATTAAGGTTAATGTTAAAAAGGCCAATGTGAAAAGTACAATGAAAGAAGACATACCATTTTGATAACATGGGATAGTCATAAGATTATTGGATTAGTTATTTAGTTTACTAATATTTTTCAAAAATATCAGTTTCATCTCTACAACAAAAATTATAAGTCTTGATGAAAGGAGTTAAATATGTAATAAAAGTAAAATATCAAGTTAAGTACTACTATTAATCAATGGGGAAAATTTAAGTACTATAGTAGTTAAAATATTTGCCAATAACATAAAAAAAGAAAAGATAAGATATATCCACCTAAATGGCACCAAGTAAAAATTTATTTAAAAATTATTATACATAATTACTTTTAGGAATACAGAAAATTAACCTAAAATATTTAGAAGAAGAATTAAGGGGATCCAAAAGTTTAACGATATACTGAGGGGAAAAAATCTCTCCTGATAGCAAACTGAAAACTGACTTAATCCAGGAGGAAGCCACAATAATTACTTCTTTAAAGTTCCTTTTCTCAGGTACTAATAGTCTTCTAATCATAGTTCGTGTTCTTTAAAAACACCAAACGCGACCACCATTGCAAGGGTCTCCGGATAACGAAGACTACCGTGCAGTGTGGTCACCATAGCCAAATTCTTCCAAGAAAGTTTATCCCCAAGTGGATTTTTGTTTCAGTTCTTTAGGATTACCTATTGCTATGTATTAATGTGGTCTCATTAACTATCTACACAATATTTTTACAGAAGAATAAAATAAAACATAAGCGGCCCGGCCGGGTGTGGCTCAGCGGTAGAGCATCGACCTAGGATCCAGGCGATCAGGGTTCAATTCCCGGCCAGGGCACATGCCCGGGTTGCGGGCTGGGCAGTCAATCAATGACTCTCTCATCATTGATGTTTCTATCTCTCTCTCTCTACCCCCTCCTTTCCTCTCTTTGAAATCAATAAAGATATATTTTAAAAAAACAAAAAAACAAAACAAGCAAAAAATCATATCAGTCCTTAAGAATGAACATGTATCTTTAGGAGCATGGCATCAGCAAGGCCTTTTGAGATGGGTTTGGTGACATTTGTACAAATTACCAGTGTTGGCAAGTGTCTTACCTATTATTAATGGCTCCAGGAAAGCAAGTATAGGGCAAGGCTGACTTAAAGTGTTTCTACATTTTCGGTAGAGAATGTACTACATAGTTTCCACTAAGTAACCATATCTGGTACATAATGTACAATAAAATCTTGTGTAAAGTACTTGGGGGATGGAGCTGCTTTCATATTTTAATTCCTAACTCAGGGTTAAGCGACAAAAATACCTTTTGCATAAGGTTACTAAAATTTGCTACTTTCCTGCTAATTTCAAGGAAGTTGAATCTATAGATCACCATTATCAATTATTAATTAACTCTTAGAAAATAATAATTCTATATATTTCCATGCTTATGTCATCAATTACCATTGTGAAATATCACAGATAGAGGTATAGAAAGTAGAGGACACGGACCTGAGAGGTGTATATTTAACCCTGGGAGTACTTTTCTTATTTTTTTTCCTTAGAAAATTACCAAGTACTCTATCCCAATCACACACTTCATTTCCCCTCAGGAAGTAACTAATATTCTGATTTTTTATTAATAATTTCCTTCCTTTTATTAGTAGTTTTACCTCCCAATATACATCTGCCTGTTTTTGGGCTCTGTATAAGCAGGAGCCATACTGCAGTTTTCTTTTGTGACTCATTTAGTACTAGGAATGTGAGATATACCCATGTTGATGTGTATAACTATCTATTTACATTGTCCTTTGACATTCCATTTAAGACTATGCCACAAATATCAAAGGAACATTTTGATTATTTCTAATTTCTAGAAATTGCAAATTATGCTGATATGAATATTTCTGTATAGGCCTCCTGGTACAAATGTTTTCCCTTTCTTAAAAATATTAGATATGAGTGTTTTAATATATTTGATAATTCTTTCCATTTAACAAAATGGAAGTATGAGTAATTTATTTAATCTAGCATTCTAGCTAATCAATTTAATCATATAATTCTTACAATGCTGAGCCTAGTGTTATTTATGCTACCACTATCAAAATAATAACAGTAGAGATATTATATATATTATATATTGAGGAAGTAAAATAAAATATGAAGAGAAAATGGAATCTGTTTTGTTTAGTTTTTGTGTTTGTTTTTTTAATAGCTGTACAGATCATAAAAGTGATACAAATGTTCTGCCCTTGGGGAATCCTAAACCCTCTGCCATCTTGGGTCCTTGGCTGTGGCTATGAAACATAGCCACATATATATAAATCTTTCTGAATTTCTCATCAAATAGCACTTTTAAACATAGATAGTGCATGCGTTGGTGACATATGAGAAATTTTCCATTCAGAAAACATAAACCTCACTCATTAATAAATAAAATGAAGGACACTGTTAGTAGTTTCCATCTATGAGATGCTAATACAACTTAGCATTGTTAAGTATAAAATACATGTGTCCAGAACAAAAGGATATACATAAAAAGTAGAACTATGATTATTTCCCTAGCAGTATATATTTCATAACTAAAAGCCCGATCCTAGTTAAAATGTACAGCAATGTAGTTATTGAATTCATTGACTCTACTTTGTTTATGCTTCTAAGACAAGACAAAAATATGTGTATCAGTTTGATAACATGCTTTTTGCTTGATTATAAAATTCTTAGTAAATCAAAGTATATTTACATTTCCAGAAATCCTTGCAGCATGATAGCAAAGCCATATTTTATGTATTCTACTTCTAATTTAGAGAAGCCTTATTTACATAGCTCAAAACTTAGCCTTGAAACTAAGAACATGAGCCAGAGTTGAGTCTTCAACTAAAATTTACAGACCCCCACGTAAAGTATGCACTCTTGGCTTAGTTTCCAGAACACATGAGGATATGCCCTTAATTGTAATTTTAGATTTATCTTTCACTTCAACAATTATACTATAAAGCATAGACCTTCAGTCTACAGCGTAATGGGTCAATCTAAAAAATAAATCTTTCTATATAACTCTGTGCATATCTTAACAGTCTCCTAACAACAACAACAAAAAGTTAACATTTAGTGCCATCTTGAATTATTTTCCCCAGAATTGTGCTAATATACTTAAATTAAGCAAAAATGAATTAAGTTGATGTCATCTCTAAGTCAAGTATCTTACCTACTATGTTCTCATAAACTGCTCTCTAAGTCCTCACAAAACTAACAATACATTATATCCTAAACTGAGTTCTTTAAGTCAGACCTTTCTCTCTTGTCCTCTGGATGTGAGGGGTGCTTGAACATAACTAAACGTGAAGGATCCAATATGCAAACTCTGTATTAATAATGGTTTACTTAGTTATGCTCTCTTTCTCCATATGTCATTATACTTATCAAAGAAATTTATGGGTTTGAGTAAGTCCCCAAAACGTGTCAGATAAATGGAAGGAGAAGAAACCTGTTTTTCTAAGCTATTCTGTGGGTTCCACAGAAAAACAGAGGTCCCATCTATAAAACTGTTTTCCACCTAATTAGATCACTGGTATTGATCTTCAAAGGTAATTGCTGTGGAAGAAATGAGTTCCTCGGTCATCCTCCTGTTCACCTATCCCTACTCTTGTAGTTCTACACTGACCTTTCTCCCTAGTTCACCGCCAACCATGATGTTGCCTTCCTTTCTTCAGCTTCCATCCTTTCTGTAAAATGGACAGTCTCTATTTAATTTGGAACTGTAGGAGATTTTGCTATGGATCTTTGACAGTTCAAACAATATAACAGACTTTAATTTAAATAGAGCAAGAGTTGAGTCACAGAGGCCTCAGAATTTTAAAAAACTATGAAATTACCCTGGACTACCACTAAGTGGTGGAAAATATATGAGGGGAAAAAGGGAAAAAAAAACCAAAAAACAAAAAACTGGCCTAAATGACTTCCGGCTGCCTTCCACTGCCTGGTAAGTTAGCCCACGTCATGGGTGAGAGTGAGCCGTAACACCAGGTTCACCTTTCTTTACTTTCTAAGTCAATAAATAAATAAAGTCCCGCAGGCAGATAGGAAGGACACTACCTGCAGAGCCGTTGTCGAAAACATCAGAAGCTGGCATAACACATCCATTCTAACGGAAATAGGTTCTTTATTATTTAATCAGGACGGCTTCTGGGCGATTCATGAACCACTTATTGAATCACCGAGTTTAAGAAATCTGAAAAAAAATATTGGGAGTTGGTAAACACCATCTCCTGACTGATCAATAGCATGTAGTGTTTCAGAATGACACGAGAGACTTTTTACTATATTGGCATGTAAAGGCCATGGAATGGTTTTCAGTTGAACATCGTGAAGAGTGAATCTATAAATCATAAAAAGCTCGTTGTTGAAATCCACCGTCATCTTTGGCCTGTACAGTCACTAAGGAGAGGAAGGTGTGCATTTTGCTGGCTGGGCTGCAGTTCCTAAACAATTCATCTTTACAGATTTCTTTTTCTTGAGAGGAAAAACTGAAATAAAATGTTATGAGTCTTTTTGAGCCAACTATAAAACATAAATGTAACCTCAATCCCTGATCAAAATATCACTGGATTTTAAAAAATATCACACATAGCTGGTAAAGCAATTAAGTCCACTGCATTAATAAAAAGGAACAAAGAAAGTCAAGAAAGTTACTATTATGTCTTTGCTCTAGTGAACTGACCTTTTCAAAGGGCCTTGTGTTTTAAAAACCTTTATTGCTTGGTCAGATTATGATCAGAGTTGTTTAGTTTATTATTAAAGGGGTGAGGGGAAGCCAACTTCTCCACAACTCTCTACCTACTACTGTCTTTCACATCTCTCTCTCAAAAATGGCTTTAATTTTGTGAGCATCCCCAGGAGAATGCACAAGAGAAATATTTTTATAAAATACAGGATAAATAAGTACATTAGAACCCTGTCAACACTAATCATGCTTACACATACAAAATGCAAAGAGGCAATAAGGCTTAAATAATGCTCTTCATAATAATTCTTTTAATTAATTCAATGGGACACTTTATTGCAACTAATAAGAATTTTACATTTCTCACCAAGTCAGTGGTGATTTCTTAACTGTATTTTATCAGCAATTTTGGGATTTCCTTTTGGAGTGTTTTAACAGCCTTAATACTGTTTCGACTAGGTAGGTGCTGGCAAGAGATGAAAATGGTTCTTGTATTTAGCATGCATACAGAGACGGTCCTAGCAAATGGGCTGTGCAATAGAAATGGGATAGAGGAGCAAAAAAACGTGGTACTTGAAAAGAACAATAGGAGGGAAGGCTTCGAAAATGCACAGGAATACTGAGCATGTTATATAGTTTGTCTTTCTGGTGACAGATACTAAGATTCCATTATAAAAACATGATCCAAGTCAAGGGAGAAATGGCAGATCTGCCTTGATTTCTGGGGAGAGCAGAGTTTTGAACAATGTTTAAATTTAGGTAATATGATCTCATTAAAAAAAGAATCTTGGAAAATGATATTGCTAGTGTTTTGTGTTAGAAACTACTGAAGGATGTTGAACAAATTCTCTGTGGTCTATCTTTACAGCCCTTCACCCAGGCTGGCACCAGGCAAGCACAGTGTTATTCTGATCTATTACTAGGATTAAAAATTGTTAGGTTATGTAGAGCTGCCACCTTCTGAAGTGAATTTCCAATTCCTTCAATTTCATTATTATAATAGTTAATTCAAAAGAGCCCATTTTAAACATTTATCTTTTGATCTTTGATTAAGTAATACATTGTATTAGGTAATTTAAAATCTCTTCTTGAGGCTCTTTAAAAAATATATAATTATAAATTTTCAGAATATGATCGTCCATTCGCAGATATGAAACAAAACTTTAACGAACAATGTTCCCCTCCATAACCAATCTGAATTTTTTAAATGTTACACTACAATCATGTTAATGTGAACTTTGAAAAGACAATTTTTAAAAAGAATTTCTGTTGCTTGTCTGTGCTTTATGTATGACTCACTTTTTCACAGAGTGTTTAATCTCTTCTCCCCAAGAAAAAAATGGCACAAAACTGTTGAAGATAATGAGAGCCTTAAAACTTAAAACCTTGATATCATTTAAAATAGTAATATTTACCACTTAATGAATGTCTCTTAAATGTTTTTAATACAATTTAGCATTATACATAATTATATACATAGTAACCTGATGGTGTATGTATTATTAAACTCACTTAAGAAATGAGGTCAATGAAGATTGAAAAGGTGAAGTAACATACCCAAGGTCACACAGTTTGGAAGTGAAACCTAAGTCCATTCGTTTCTGAAGTTCCACACTGAAGCCCTATGACAGGTGAGATGTGGAAGGACATCTGCATTCCTAAACATTAGCTAATTTATACTCTTCACAGTTAAGTAACCAAACTCTTGGAATATACATTAAAAGGGAAGAAAGACGGTCCCAAACTGCAGAAAAGATGTGTCTCTTAATAAATTTTCAAAGATAAATCTTCCATTTTTCATTTTTATTTCCTGGGTGTTTGATTTTTTGTTGTTGTTGTTTGTTACTATTAGATACTACAGCATTCTTATAGAACTCAGTTTTTTTCCACCAACAAAATGAAATGTAGAATCACTGAATTAAAGTTTGACCTATGCTCTATTAAATTATGTAAATTTACATTTTTTTTCTGACATTGCTTCTCATTTATTGAACATTTCTAACACTCACATCATCAACCTCGCTTAAATCCTTGCTCCAATTCCTCTAATCTATTCAGTAAGCTCTGTCTGAGTATGAAGAAAAAAATTTGCCACAATGATATATGAAAGTACTTTTGGAACAGCCTGAAATATCACTGGGCCCTATAAAAGTTACTCATTATGCAAAGTTTGAAGCACTGCATATTAGGCTTCTACCAATGGCTTACTTCTAGAGCAATTCATCATCACTCTCCAGAGATTACTTACTCTAGAAAGCTGGTGATATAGTCTCGACTGCAGGCAGACCAGGAAAAGGGATTGGTATTTGCAGTAATGTGAGCTGCCATAAGTTTTGCTGTTTCATGACCTTTCGTCCCACAAGTATTTCCAATTCCATCATGGTTCATACCAAAACTGTTTTAACAAGGAAGAAACATAAGAAACATAAAAGAAATAAGAAAAAAATAAAACAAACAAACCCCAATACATCCTTTATTTCCTTAATTGATCAAGTATTAGTCTTATCAACACACGCCTTCCAAAACAATAGACTAGATCCTCTAAGGAAATATAGGATTAAAGTTAAAGTGACTATGGAATAGTTCAGTGATACAATGTATTTCTAAACCTATTTAAATTTATCGTATAATCTCAAATGTTACTGCATATGATACCATCTCTCCTAGAATAGATATGGAATTAATTTTCACTTTATAAATGAGAAAAACAAATTTAGTAAAAATAAAAGACCCATTAAAGATCATACAATTAGTGCTGGAATCATTAGTAGAATCTGCCTGCCTTTTAACATGCTAGAGTTCATATTACTTCACTATGAATCAGAAGGGGATTTTTAAAAGATGGTTAAGATTCATTGAGTTCTAGGTTATAGACCAAACACGAAAGTCCCTTTTCTTACTAATATAAATAAAAAAAGAATTAAACACATAAGTAATTTATGTTTGTGTTTTTATGTGTTTTCAGAACACATTTTGAAAAGTCTTGATGCATTGATTACGGAGTTAGTTTTTCTTTACCAGAGCCTCCCTTCATTTTTTAAAGCTTTTCTTTGTCATTTATTTCTGTGGCCTATGGCCATGCTTAGTCCTTTCAATGTGATCTAAAAATATATTTTCATAATAAACCAAACTTTTTCTGTAGAGGACATACCCACTGCATGTAAATAAATTTTAGCCTTTCATCACAAGTAGCCAGAGTTCAGGTTGAACATTACTAAAAAAAAATTATGTCTCCATTGTGACATTCTAATAAATGTACCATGATATGTGTTCAAGGAAATAAATGATTTGTGTGACAAGAGGATAAGATAAGTGAGGGTAGTTGCTAGAGAAAAATTTGGACAGGTAGTTGGGAACAGATAATTGCAAGACAATAAAGGAAAGTAGATATTAATACATTTGGCAGTGTAGAGACACTGAAGAGTTATAAGAAGAACTGAGGATTTCTGAGGAGAATATGGAATTGATCTGTATTTTAGACAGGTCATTATAATTTGTGGTGGAGTCACTGGAGTGAGAAGAGAATGGAGCCAGGGAGAGCAGATGGAAGATCAGAAAATAATGTGGGTTTGAATTAGGGCACTGGACAGAGAGGTGGGATTAGATTTGAGACATGTTTAGAAAGCTGAATGAATCGGCCTTCACAACTACAATATAAAACAGCTATAATGAAGACATATAATATGTTCACACATAGGGGGCAGAAAGGAGGAACTAGTATTTCAGGCAGAGGAACTAACATAAGCAAAGGAAGAGAAGTGCATGAAAATATCCAGAGTCCCATGTTAAAATACCAAATAACCTTCCAAGAACACCAATATTTAGTTTTCCATTTGACGTCAACATACTGGACTCAACCTATTTGAATGGTCTTCTAGAAACATGATGGTGGATTATACAATTAGTTGAATTAGACATATATTCTGTCCAAACAATCACCTACAAATTTACATAACAGGATCCTTTGTTCAAATTTTTAATTCAATAAAGTTAATATTCTATATTTCTCTCCAAGGTTGGTGCTACTGTGTTGAACACTACTAAAATTCTCGTCAAATGATAATAGCTTTAAAAATATGATTTCCTTTTAGCATCAGTCTCTAAAATATCCCAAAGTCATGCTAAGATAGGTGTAAGCGGGCAGGTGGCTTTAAGAAAATTATTTTCCAGATCCTATACTTTCTTATATACTCTTTTCTTTAAAAAATTCAAGATTCGCCCCCCTGGCATGGCTCAGCAGTTGAGCATCAACCTATGATCCAGGAGATCGATTCCCAATCAGGGCACATGTCCGGGTTGTGGGTTCGATCCCCAGTCGGGGGCGTGCAGAAGGCAGCCGATCAATGACTCTCTCATCATTGATATTTCTATCTCTCGCCCCCTCTCCCTTCCTCTCTCTGAAATCAATAAAGATTTATTTTTTCAAACATAAAAAGTCAGACTTCTCCTTTTAAAATCACATTTATCCCACTTGCAAAAGAAAAACTTATTTTACCCATCCGTAATTTTTCAATAGTTCATAGCACTGGGGTATAAAAACATGGGCATCAAGAAAAGAGAAATTGGAGACATTTGGTGTCTTCAGAGAAAGAGAATGACTTTGATGATTGAATGATTAATGAAACTAAATATGTAGCTTCTTGCTTTCATCAAATTTATAGGAGAACATAATCAAATTAACAGCTGATGGGTTGTTAAAAATGTTTTTTCATGATAAACCACCATGGTTATGTTTGACAAATAATTCAAAAGAACTTAAAAGGATTGATTGATATTTCTATCATAAACTCCTTTCATTTCTACTTATGTAAACAAAGCATTCATCATCTACAGAAACAAAATAAAGAAACTGAACTGATGCTGAAATCCTGCCTTATTCTATAGAAATACAGAGATAAATGCAATAATTTAAAAATACATCTAATTAAAGATACATCTTTTCATTAAAACTTTGCTTTTACATTTAATTATTTATTAAAATTTGTAATATGTATGTGCTCCTCTGATCAATCATTATTTAATAATGATTGTTATCTAATGAACAAATAATCCAGAAAAAAATTTTCTTTATGATTACAGGAAATTTTTAAATGTAATTGTTATTTACATATATTTTTGTTATGGAGACATTTTATATGATTAAACATACTTTTAAGCATAAAATACATTTAAATATCTTAAAAATATTACATTAGGGTAATATTCTGGGAGGGAGAGAAGAAGCAGACATATTGAGTTAAAGGGAAAAAAAATGATAAAAATTTTGACTATAAAAGAATGGGCTTGTGTATTTCTTAAAGACATAATGATAGTTACCAAATTTCTATGGCATTTAGATTCAATTGGATATATTTAAAAGATATATATAACAATTTTATTTTCACATGCTAATATATACAGTACTCCAGAAATTCTATCCTTTACAATAACTTAGACATAAAATAAAAATTTTTAGACATCAGCTGAAAAATATACAATAGCGTACATAGTTTTAAAAAATTCAGAAGTATAGAGGGAAAACTGTTTTTTCCTCCTGAGGAAACTCTATCGATGAAGAGTTTGGCAATTAAAAAAAAAGCGAAACTCATTAGTGATCAGAGAGAGGAAACAAAAGGCCACTTTAAAACCATCATACCAACAAAAATTAGAATGTTCCATAGGACTCAGTGTTGGCAGTGATGCAGAGAAACTGGGATCTTAGTTCACAACATTTGTAATGTGGTCAGAGCAGCTGTTCCAGAGAGCAATTCAGCAGTACTTAGTCAAGTTAAATAGGCAGATACATTATGACCCAGAAATCCTATTCTTGGATATATATCCCAGAAATATTCCCAAAGGGAACATGTATGAAGATGTTCATGACAGGATTATTTATGATAGCAAGGAGTTGAAGACAACCTAGGTGTCCGTCACTGGGGAACGGGTAAGTAAACTTTGGCAGATGCAGATTACGGAATACGAAACAGAAGCTGGAAGCAGCAAACAAGACAGATGTCTGCACACAGTATGGGTAGATCTTAAAAACGGGAAAAATTAAGAAAAGGAGCAATGTCTATAACCCTATATCAAATATGTAGACAAAACTTACATACACACTCTCATATAACAAAGAAAGGCCAAGGAACTGTTCCGGACTAAAGAGACTCAACTAAATGCAATGAAAACTGGATTAAGTGGGGGGAATGTTATAAAGAACATTGCTGGGACAATTGATAAAACTTGAATATGACTGTACATTGATGCTAGAAGTATATCAATGTTAAATTTTCTAATTTGATAATTGTGCTGTGGTTATATAAGAGATTATCTTTTCTCCGTAGGAAATAGATGCTGAAATATTTGAGGATAAGGGAAATGTCTACAACTTACTCTCAAATAGCTAAGAAAAATTCATGTACATATACTGAAAAAGAGATAAAGCAAATGTTGCAAAATATCAACAACTGAATCTGAGTGAAGGGCACATGGGAAAGCTTTTTATTATATCAATATTTCTATAAGTTTGAAATCATTTCAAACTTAAAAAGTTAAAATGAACACATAGATGTCCAAAACAACCTGCAATATTTTACAAAGATATGTATGGACTCAAATATAAAGATCAAAATTTTTAGACTAGTTATCTATGGGAGTGAACACATGGGAGTGGGAAATGGAAATATAAATACACTTATGTATATATTAAACCAGAAGGGTCCTTGGGGACTGATGTGCCAAGAACTAAGGTTGGATGGATGGATGGATGGATGGATGATTGATAGATAATAGATAGATATAGATAGATGACAGATTAGATAGATGATAGATAGATAGATAGATAGATAGATAGATAGATAGATAGATAGATAGATAGATGTAAAATAAACTCTGCTCTTGAGTTTCAAATATAATATTTTTTTTTAAAGTACAAGAACAAAACAGAGAGTTAGGTGAGCCTGGGGCCCACACTGAGGAGTGAACAGTAGTCACAAAAGAGCACTCCCATGGTTGGTTTTATGTGTTTATTAAACATTTCAGATTACATAAAGGTAATGTTTCTCATTTGTGGAGGGTTGTAGGAACAGAGAGAAAGAAACAGAAAGAGAGAGGAGAGAGAGAGAGGTAAAGGAGGAGGTTAGGAGAGACAGCCTTCCATGGGCCTCGTGATTCCCCACATTGCGCTGGGTATGTCAAGTCTGCAAGGCTTGCTCTGTACCCAGGCTCTCACAGGATAACTTTAAGAAATGAGGTAACATCACCCCCTGGATAAAGAGCAGGTTTACTTACTACAGTACTCCTCCCTTTATCCACAGTTTCGGTAATGCATGGTCAACCACAATCCAAAAATATTAAATAAAAAATTCCAGCAATAAAGATTGTGCACTATACTGACTACTGTAATGAAATCTTGCACCA